GGAGGCAAAGGAAGGAAGATGGGGAGGGGATTTTCAACTCAGTGGGAAGAGGATAAAGAAAAAGCATAAAGATGTGAAACAACCTTTCACACCTTTAGGGATCTGCAAGCAATGATTGAAACAGTAGCAATGACGATAGAAAAGTGAGGTTGAATATAAAAGGAGAGAATTAAGTAGATTCAATAAGACTTGGTATCAAGGCAGAAAGTCTGGCAAATGTTAGAGTCTAGGATGGCTCCTTGATTTCTAACCTGGGTGACTTGGGTGGATGATGGTAACGAATGAGGCAAATCAGGATTAAGAGTAAATAAATCAAAGCAGCAGCTCAATTTTCCTTTTATAAAGCCTCTTCAGAAAACTACTTTTAAATCATTTTTTTGGTGATTACCAAAGAAATATACAGTTAGCACAGAAAATGAAATGTGAAAAAATATAAGAAAAATGAAAGAAAAATAAAAACCTATAATATAAGCCTACCATTCTGAAAATGATTAAGATAAACATGTACAAATACAGGAAAAAAGCTTAGAGTCTATAATAAAGGTGACTTAACCTTCACTATGAATGCTTTCTTGAGGAACTCTTGCTTATATGAGCCATACATACATTATATACTTGATTTTGCTATTAACAATTCCATTTATTAAGTAGTTAGCAGTCACGTGAAAAAATAATCCACCTAAATTGAAAAAAATTATGTTTTTACTTCATTCATAATGATATTTACTTTATGGAATGTATATTACTGTTCGGTACTGCACAACTTTTCAAATCTTGGAATCAGAGTGGACACTGCTATCCTACTTCCTGTTCCATACCGATTTTCACGCCGTACTTGCATTTTACCATAGCAACCATTAAAAAACCAGTTTCACAAAGATATATCATCTACAGGAATGTAGCACAATCTAATCTTGAAACCCTCAACTCTGTCAAGCCAGTAGTTCACCTGGCAACTAACAAATGTCAAGTAGCACTATATCTTCCTTGAAAATTTACACTGTCAAATGCCACCTTTGTAAAGTTGGCAACAATACCTTGGGGTGCCTTGGTACAGTTTTGGGAACCATGGTCCTCTGGCGAGGTATATGATTTTGTGGCTTTGGACTTGGGCTGGAAATCAGTTCCGTCATTAACTATATAATCTTGGGCAACTGAATCAACCTTTTGAACCCAGTTTCTATGCCTACCAAATAGGAATACTATCAACCTCAAAGAATAGTTGTGAGAATGAGATGATGCTTATATATAGTAAATAATCAATAGACAGCAGCTATTATTATGTCACTAAAATTAAACAAGTAGTTTATAAAACCAAATTTTATAACTGACTCTGTGGGGGGTGGGACATTCTAAGCTAAAGCCACAATGTCAAATTAAAATTTATAAATAGGCCAGACACAGTGGCTCCCACACGTAATCCCAGCACTCTGGGAGACTGAGGAAGGGAGGACTGCTTGTGGCCAGGAGTTTGAGACCAGCCTGGGCAACATAGTAAGACCCAATCTCTACAAAATAAAAAATTAGCCAGGCATGGTGGCACACAACTGTAGTCCTAGCTACTCAGGAGGCTAAAGCGGGAGCATCACTTGAGCCCAGGAATATGAGGCTACAGTGAGCAATGATGGCCCCACTGCACTCTAGCCTGGGTGACTGAGCGAGACCCTGTCTCTAAAAAATAAAAAACTAAAACAAAATAAAAAAAACTTATAAACAAATTTTTAGGAGAAAGATCATAAAGTACTTAAACAATGACAATACAGAGAACTACAGTTTCCTCCAAAGGATATCTTAATGTTGACCTATCTATCACAATAAATGCTATGTAAAAAGTATTAAACTGGCAACTCAGAAGAATATACTTAAAAAAGCACATTCTAATCACACTAGTAAAAACCACAAGTTTTATAAACTAGGATTTTTTAAATGGCACTAAGAACTGCCTTTTAAAAACACTTAAATTTATACAAAGCAAAACTCATTTGATTATAACAATGATTTTTCCCCAAGGGCATAATACTTCAATATTATACTTGTGCCCACAACATGCAAAAAATTTAACATTTTAATTCCAAATGTCTTTTATCTGAGAAACATCTTTAATAAAATTGATAAGAATATTTGTAAATGTTTGGTTTACAAGAGGATTTTTGAAGCATTACTTTGTTGGATCCTCAGATACTATCTCTATTTACAGAAACTGAGGTCCATATGAATTAATGATTTCGCCTACAACTTACATATTACACTGCTGTCCATGTCTTTTTCACACTAAACCATATCTTTTAATTCCTATTATGCCACACTTCCCTCCCAAGAAGATTCAGTTCAAATCTTGTTAGCTGAACCAGTATCATTTTATCAGCTATTACAAGTAGGTTGACCATCATCAAAGCTCTGAAAATCTTTTCCCTGCACAGTAACAGCATTTGACCTGCAGAGGCTTCTTATGTGCAAAGTGTTTTGAACTGTGTAACATTAATTAGTAATTATTCTAAGATCACCTTATGACATGATCTATTATTATGAGTCCCCTTAGCACCTATACCAATGGTAATGCAGTGGCTGAACTAAACGATTCCTCTTAGTCCAGATTATTTCCCATTTTTACTTAGCTGGTGGCCCACTAGTGAACTCTAGAAGTATTAAACTGATCCTAATATTTTTTTCTTCTGATATTAATATAAACTAAACGCGGTGGTCAGAACATCTAAAAGTCATGCCCCCTTGACGTCAAAAAAGGGAAAAAAAATCCTAAAAGTAAGCAATGTCGTACACGACCCAAATACCATGCCATCCTAAAAAGCCTATGCCTTGCCTTTCAACTTGGTCCAACAATTCCAAAAACAATTTGCCAGCAATCCTTTCCGCAAATTCACACATTTCTCTGACAAATACATTACTATCACTTCCAAAGTTATCCTAAAAGCAACTTACTAAGGCATCCTACTCCACAATGACGATTTTCTTTAAAAAAAAAAAAAAAAGTAAATACAACTTGATAATGGAATTACTACATGGGGCCTGGTGTGGTGGCTCAGGCCTGCAACCCCAGCACTATGGGAGGCCGAGTCAGGGAAGATCACTTGAGGTCAGGAATTTGAGACCAGCCTGGGGCAACACAGAGAGACCTTGTCTTTACCAAAAAAAAAAAAAATTAGCTGGGTGTGGTGGTGCACCTGTAGTCCCAGCTACTCAGGAGGCCAGGGTATTGCTTGAGCCCAGGAGTTGGAGGTTACAGTGAGCTATGATGGCGCCACTGCACTCCAGCCTGAGTGACAGAACAAGACCCTGTCTCTAAAAAAGAAAAATATTACTACATTGGGGAGCTTAATTCTTAAAGAAATCCTGCACGAAGTCTTTATATAAGGTAATTAATTACCCTCCTATTTTGCATTGTTTAAAAAATTAGCCTTTTGTAAGCCAGAGTTTATTAAGGGTAGAGGGGATCTGTATAGGTTAGGAGAGATATAGGCCTGTATTATAACTGCTGTATTAATATGAGCCTTTTGTAGCCATAGCATCATACACATTCTTTATAAGTAATATTTTGAAGAACTTCACACCTGGGACCTTCCTAGCAATGTAAATAAATTCTGTTAACAGAATCTTCTTCATTTACATAGAGAATAGAAGAGCGAGCCTGCTTTCTTGGAAAGGAAACAGTTATCTGTCTTGCACAAAATCCAGTCCACTTTGTCCATCTAATATGGACAAAAAGAAAAAAAAAAGACCTATTGGGAAAACGTTTCTTCTCCAGCCAAGGGCTGTTCCCAGATAAAGGCAATGCTCAGAGTACAACAAAAAAGCCTTCTCTGAGGGAAGAAATGTGTCAGAAAAGGAGAGGCATGGATCGGGAATAAATAGGGGTGAGTGTAAGCTCTCAGTGCGAGGGCTGGAGGCAGCAGGCGCAGCGCTGAGATGCTCCAGCAAAAGAACCAGCAGCAGCAGCAGGAAGTTTCAATGGGGCCGGGCAGAGCATGCGCCCTGCACCCGCGCGGTGGCCTTATGTGGAAGGAGCACCACTTGCGAACACCAATAATAGACCAGCGGCACCAGAGAGAAACATGAGCAACAAGCACCTTCTTCAACTGTTTCCCCCTCCGTCAGAGCCCCTCCTCCAGCCTACATACTAACCACTCCACCCCACCCAGCAAATGGGAGGGCGACTTCTTCTTCCCCTAAGCCCTGCTGCCAAGATGAAGGGGGAAGGGATTGAAAAAGTGGGGAGATGCTTTTCTATTATTTGGGGGGAGGTGAGGAGGGAGGAGGAAAACTATGGAGGAGGAATTAACCCTCTCCTCTCCAAAGAGAAGCTGAACCGACTTCGTCCCCCTTCCAAGAATGAAGGAGGAACCCCCTCCCATGAGGGAGGAGCAGACCTTCGTACTCGGAGGAAGGAGTTTTGGGGGTTAAACCAGTCTCGAGGGGAAGGGACGAGGGACGAATCTCTCGGGGGACTTCTCAACAGAGGGAGGGAGAGTTGAGTGTCTACTGGCCCCCGCCCACCCAGGTGAACGGAGATAAGGGGGCGCCCCGAGAAGACGGGCCCAGCCTCCCCCAAGACAGTCGGGAGGATTGGTGGGAGGAGGGGAGGGAGCAAAGGAGGGGAGGAAGAGAAAAGCGCAAAGCTGGCCGGAACCAGCGCTCCCCTTCCCCCGCCGCCAAGGGAGAGAAGGGGTGGGGGACCGGCCCCCGCCGCGGGGGAGCAGTCCCTGGGGCGGCCGGCCAGCACAATGACCCCTCCCCGCCCCCAGCCCACACCTAACCTGCGACGCCCCCACCTCTGCTCCGCTCCCGGCCAGACCGAGTGGCCCTAGGGGGCCCCCGCCCCGCCTCCCCACTGCCCAAGACCTCCGGGGCTGGGCGGAGAAGATGGGCCCGGCGGAGTTGCGCCCCAGAGGAGGACAGAGCCGCGGAGGCCTAGGGTGTCTGTGAAGAGCAGAGAGAAGGAGCGCGGCAGGGCCGCTTCCCGCCGGGCATTCCGGCCCCTCGCTTACCTTCTCCGTTGCCGACGTCTGGCGGCGGCGCCTGCAGCACCCGCTCCAGCTCGGGGAACGGCAACTCAGGCAGATCTAGCAGCGGCCCGTAGCGCTCCAAGAAGGAGCAGACTACTGCGAAGTTGGGGCACGAACCCGGGCAGCCCGGAGGAGCCATCGCCGCCGCCGCTGCCGCCGCCGTCGCCATTTTGAACTGGAGGATGGAGGAGGAGGCGATGGGGGTGTGGGGGGAGTTGGGGTGCCGAGGAATGGCAGGGCAGCCTTACGGACGACAGGAGGCGCTCTCTAGCGGGCTCCCCTGCGGATCCGAGTGTCTCAGGGACGGCGCCAAGATCCCACAATACATAGGCGGCCCGGAGCAGTCGAGAACCGAGTCAGACGGGAGACAGAGAGGCCCTCAGTGCCTTTCACTTTCCGCCCTCTTCCCGCCCCCTTCCCTCCCTCTATTTCTCCCCTCCCACTTTGGGTTTGCCACTGCCTCGTGTGACAGGGGGAATGAAAACAAGGGGAGCGGGGCGGGGAGGCGGGCTGAAAGCGGGAGGGGCGGGACTTTTCAAGAACAGTGACCAATAGGCTTTAGGGGGCGGGGTTTCGGGCGCCGTTCGGTGGAAAGGCTTGCTCCGGGCGGGGGGCAGGGGGAGTGCCTAGGCAAGAGCCGCTCGACGCCGGGAGGTTAGAGGTGAAGCATTGACCGATTTGGGAACTCAACTCTGAGGAGAGAGGGCAGTGGGTGAGTTTTCGGGGGAATCCAGGAACTGTAACTGGGCCACGGGATGGTAGAGGAGGCAGAGCAGAGTGAGTAAGAAGCAGAGACGAATGGGGGAGGAAGAAAAGTACAATTGTGGGAGGAGGTTGGGAAGGGGAGAGGTAGAGACGTGCCCTTAATTAGGGGTTGGGATGGGAAGTTTGTAAGAAGTCTCTGTGAAAGTTTGCTGAGGGGAATTGCTCTTTGACGGGGTATAAGAATCACAGCTTTGCTGAAAAACCAGAGTCTGCGGGTTCTGCTGGGTGACAAGGGCCTGAGGGAACGGGACTCTTGAGGGATCACCTGAGTGAGGAGTTGGGGTGCTGCTGGGAGAAGAGGGTCTGAAGGGACCAGGCTCAGCAGGGGGACCGAGGTGTGAGGAGACAGAGCTCTGCTGATATTATCAGTGGCTGAAGTGAAGGGGCTCTTTTGAGTGACCAGTGTCAGAGTGTGGCCGAACATCATGAGACCGTGGAACAGCAAGAAGTGTGTTAGAAGACGGGGTTCCAGTTCGTTGGGGGTGGCAGTGAACATTCTCCCACAAAGAATCCCAGAGGAAAACCACTAGTAATGTAAAATAGAATGTACAGCTTGGGAAGCAATATACATTATGGTTAGGAGCCTGAGCTTTGGATTCAGCCAAACTTGAGTCCTAGCAGGACCACTTAATCACGTCTTTGAAATTCTGTAAAGTGGGGTGATAAAATACATCATAATAATTCACAGTAAAGTGATTAGCACAATTCCCTGGCACATTGTAACTACTTAAAAAATATATTAGTTGTTATAGAAAAAAAGAGTTCCTATAATTTAGACTGAATTAAGCTATATTTATTTAGTCTACAGTTTATTACTTTGAGCCAGAATTTTCAGAGTGCATTTAAAACTTACATAATACCTACTTCCGGAAAAGCATTTGAAGCAAAGTACAACACAAGCCATGTGATAATATAGGCAAATTTGTGATTAAAAGAAGATAAAGAAATATATGGGCAAATAACTATATCAGGATCAGGGAAAATGGTTACACAGTTAAGCAGTGAGGTTTTTTTTTTTTTTATTTCAGCGTATTATGGGGGTACAGATGTTTAGGTTACCTATGTTGCCCTTGCCCCCTCCACAAGTCCGAGCTTCAACCGTGTCCATCCCCTGAAACATTGAGTTTTGTTCTGCGTTTCCAGGTTTTGAAAAAGGGAAAAGAGGGAAAAACCATCATTCTTGTTATCTAAAGAAAGAAAGAATACTCATGTATCAAGAGAAAAATTCCATATTGTAAGAAGAATTTATTACCATGGATAGTGCTTCTTAATCTTGGGTAATATTCAAACTCTTTTTAAAGGAAAAAAAATTATTTTGAAACTTGGCAAATATTTTGAAAATTTCAATTTAAGAAGTATTGATGTGAGAAATTGAAGTATAAACAACAATATAAATGTACTTAATGCTACTGAAGTATACACTTAAAAATAGTTGGAATGGTAAATTTTATGTTATTTATATTTTACGACAGTAAAGAAAGTTAAAAACAGTTAAAGTCTTACTTTAGGAAAATATCTTCTGGTTATGAATTATCATTGCAAAAAAGGTTTAATTTAGTGAGTAAAATTTTGTTTTTCAGCAATCACTGAAATGAAACACAAAATTAACCAAAACATTTTAATAGAACTCTCAAGCTGCCAAGTGTATAGATCTAGTCCCTAGGGACCTGAACCCCAGTTTAAGAATAATCTGACCCAGAACACATTTTTAACAACAGTTTTGTGGAAAGATATAAAAACCTTCATATAGTTTTTACTTAATTGATCTTAAATAAAAACCAGGTACACAATACTTTATCTTTGGAAGGAATTTCTAAAGAAAGGACCTTTAAACCAAAAGGAAGATTTAATTATATCATTATGTGAACCTTACCCTTTCTCTTTACTTTCAGCTTTTCCAGCACCTCACTTCCCACACTTCCATGAGATTGTAAAATAACATTCTAAAAAAGAAATAAAAACTTTTTTACTATAGTTTTCTTTTCTCAATGCTCACTGTTATTGAAAGGGAGACTGATAAATAAGGTTAGAGTTTCTGCCTATTGTAATCCAGATTGGCACGGGAACAAAGTCCTTGGGCCTCAGAAAGTTATATCCACCCAAAGATAAAGAGGTGTTTTACTACAAAGCAAGGTTTAGGTTATGCCTTCACTAAATCTGTTCTTGAAAATAAACAATGACACACACTCATAATATTACCATCTCTTCTTACCTTCCTGGACTAAGAGAAATTGTGAGTTACAATCCCAATTTATGTAATTAAATAACTTGAATTATGTATGTCAGACTGGAATATAAAGGTACATAAAAGAAGCTGTTTTTTAAACCTGTAATTGACTTATTGTAACTGCCATAAAGAGGCCTTTAAACAAGCACTAAATTACATTCAGTTCTACTTTGCTTATGAATAAGGAATTTCTTAAGATATTTCAAATTTCACATCCTCTTAGGGAAAAAAAAAAACTCTTAATTTGCTCAGTCAGAATTAATGGCTAGTTTATTCAAAATACCAAAAAGTCAAAACAACCCAAATATACATTAACAGAAGAATGGAAAAATTGTGATATATTCCTACAATAGACTGCTACTCATACTGATAGACATATTGACATACTCTACCTGGGTGAATCTCAAAAACAGGTGAACCCAGGCAGATATACAGGAGTTAGGTACTGCACAATTCCATCAATATGAAGCTCAAATTAATCTGTAGGAATAGAAATCAAATAGTCGTTTCCTTTGAGCTTGGAAGGGGATTGACTAGAAAGGGGCACAAGGGGACTTTGTAACGATATAGTTTCTATATCTTGATTGGCAAGTTTATTTGGTCAAAACTCATTGAACTGTAAACAATATCTGTGCATTCAAATATATGTAATTAAGCTTTGATTTTAAATGTTAATGATTTATCCCTACATATTCCCAAGTAGCATTGATAGCAGTTTGCTTTTTTTTTTTTTTTTTTTTGAGACAGAGTCTCACTGTGTTGCCCGGGTTAGAGTGCCGTGGCGTCATCCTAGCTCACAGCAACCTCAAAACTCCTGGGCTCAAGCAATCCTTCTGCCTCAGCCTCCCAAGTAGCTGGGACTACAGGCATGCGCCACCATGCCCAGCTAATTTTTTCTATATATTTTTAGTTGTCCGATTAATTTCTTTTCTATTTTAGTAGAGACGGAGTCTTGCTCTTGGTCAGGCTGGTTTCGAACTCCTGAGCTCAAACAATCCGCCCGCCTCGGCCTCCCAGAGTGCTAGGATTACAGGCGTGAGCCACCGCACCTGGCCGAGCAGTTTGCTTTTTATCAGAACAATTTATACACATTTCTGTTTCCCTCATATGTTATCTTTGCACTTGTTACACAGCTTTTTTACATATATTATTAACATTAGCTCATAAATTTATATTGAGGGGAATTGAATTCAGTTTATGAGCCAGTTTGGAGAATTCCTAATCAATGATGAGCAAATTAGGTTCGTTTAAAATTCAATTTTAAAAAGTGTTAAAACATCTGGAAGTATGTGGATGTATGTTAAATGTGGTGAAAAAGCTATTAAGTGTCAACAGAAATGAGAATCTCTGCTCTTCAAGGTAGTTTAATAAGAAAACAAGAAAATAAAAGGAAGTCCTAATATAAACAAGATGTAAACCAACCATTTTCTGTTTTTGCTCTTGATAACTGAATTCTATGTTACAATAGAGCTCTATTCAATGATGAAGGCACTTTTATAAGTGTCCTACTGAACATCTTTTTTTTAAAGAGTTATGCATTAGTCTATTCTCTTAAAAGCATGGCTGAGAACAGTTTCTCTGATGGAATAAAGATTTTTACTGAAAAAAATGATCATGGGGGATTGCCTATATTATAGTGTACTATATCTTATATTGTCACTACATTTTTTAAATTTTATTATTAGATAATTGAGAGCAGGAATGATGTTAGGAAGTTTGGTATTCTTAACAGCAAGGATTGCTATTCACTAGTATGGACCAGAAAGGCTATACTGGTTGTAAAATTATTAAGATACTGTATTTACATACAGTATCCAGTTGCAGAATAGCCCCTGCCCCAAGCCTCCTATGTATAACCCTGCTACACAGGCTACTCAGTCTCTCTTCAACAACTCCCTGCAACTGAACGTTGATTACAGACACAGCAAACCCTATTCTAGCACTCTACTGCCATTTTGATGTAATTAATGCTCATGCTGTCCTTAGTGAATATTGTGAACATACTCCTAACCTATAGCAATATTTTTCAAACTGTGAGTTGTGACTCATTAGCAGGTTTTGAAATCAGTTTGGTGGCTCAAGACCAGAATTATATTAAAAACAAAAAAGAGGCCAGGCTCAGTGGCTCACACCTATACTCCTAGCATTTGGGAGGCCAAAGTGGGAGGATGGCTTGA